AGTAAGAGTCTTGTTCTGCTACCTGGGCTTCTGCGCAGCGCAGCAAGCTGAATGCGAAGCGAGGACTGAAGCCAACATCAATGCAATGCAGCTCATGTAAGCGCACATTTCAGTGTCTTCCTGACCCAGAACCTCTCACAGTGCAAAATGAATATAGCAAAAATAAAAATAACGTCATGAGTTCTCTGCATTTGTGACATTAGGAACCTACAATGAATGCTCCAGACTGTGTAATTATTCCTCAAGGGGAAGGAGGAGTTGGAGGCAAGGACTAGCAAAGGCTGAGAAAGGAGGAAACCTCAAAACCAGTGCTCCTTGCTGGGTAACTGCTTGGCACCAGGGCGGCATTTAGCAACCACCACTCGGACTCTCAGTGTGACAGAGAAAGACCACCCGGTCTTCAAGGAGAAAACGGAGAAGCACCTCCAGCCTTGAAGGGACTGTTCCAGCCCTCAAAAGAACATCAGAAACAGGCCATCAATCAGTGCTGCTCTCTGCAATGCCTCTAGCCATAGAATCATAAAATTGTTTGGGTTGGAAGAGACCTTTAAGATCATCAAGTCAAACCATAAGCCTAACACTGCCAAGTCCACCACTAAACTGTGTCCCTAAGCGCCACATTTACACGTCTCTCACAAAAAACTCTGCAGGAAAAAAGAAAGTAATTCTTGCAGCGGGAAGACTTAAAGAAATGCAGCATTGCAAACCCAGCCCCCCCTCCCCTCCAGAGAGAAGCCTGCCGTTCTTAGTCTTGTCTCAGATATGCCCTTTCCCTGTGCTGCCTCTGAGACAAGACGCTTCTGCCACCATCGTCTTGATGCAGAGAAACTCTCTCTGCCAACAAATTGACAGAGAATTTCAGTCTTAATAATCATCCTGCCCTGCACTTCAGCCTGATCCACATCCCAGAAGGAAGATTAATCCGCTAAGCCTCTCAGCTCCTAGAAACGATACTTACAGGCAAACAACTATCCCCACTCATTCTCTTCCTCAGATGATAATCAGAAAAATGTCTGTATTTGGCTCACTATGACAAGCTGATTTTAAACCTCCTAAGGAGCGGAAGCTTGTTGGCTTTAGGGATAACCCTGCTTGCCCCTCTGCTTTAGCCTAGTAGCCTGAGAATGAACAAAGCAGCCCATCTACGGAAGGGTTAACGCAAGCTGGTTCCCGAGGCAAATCCTGAGCTCAGAGCACATCCGCAGCATGTCAGGCCTCCGCTGGCTCCGTACAGTTAGCACAGAGATGGAAGGCCTCAGTAATCCTTGAGCTCTTTTCTTCTCCCAGACAGTACAATCACAGGTGCTGTTCAACTTGACTTCCGTGTATTCATCACTATTAATGCATTCTTTTGATTTGCAAAACGCCAAGTAGATATGGAGACGTTATGGACATCTTGGCACCTCGGTGAACCAGAATCCATTTACAATTAAGTTTGAAGCTACACGGCTTTAGGAAGCCAGCTAAAGCTTTCCCTATAAAGAAATCAATACCTTTGAAGCTTCATCCTGCCACACCTTAGTTTAGAATAGGTATTTTGTAGAGTCTTTGCAAGGATGAGAAAGCAGCGAATAAAGACATGAAACATCGTGGTGACAGCATTCAAGAAAGAATTGGGTACAATTTATTTTCTTTGGTTTTTCTTTAAGTTTTCAATTTTGAGGCAATTCTCTATAGATTGTGCTTTATCCTACAAACTTTACATTTGTTTTTCTTGTTTATACTATAAACCACTTGAATGATGAACCATAATTTTTTATGTGTTTCTAATACAATCTAAAAAGGAACTGGAGCTAGTAAATTATACATTTTTTCATATGTAGATAATATACATGATTTCTGGCTGAAGAAAATTGCCTTTCAGTATTTTATTCTCTCCTGGAATCAAAAGGGGCTGGAGGAAGACAGTACAGGCAATAAAATACATGCGACACAAACAGCCTGCGATAGCCTATGACTGCTTCACGTTAAGAAGAGGTTAATTAGAGCAGTGATATAAAGGAGGCAGCAGTGGAACCCAGAAGTAGTCCTGCCGGGAGAAGAAATAACTTACCTAGCCCTGCTAAGCACCTGCCAGGCACCAAAGCAAGCAAAGAGGCTGCACAGCGTAGAACAGACGACCAGGGAGTTACGTCCTCATAAGTCTTAGTAAATCTTCCTCTACCTTTGGTTTCAAATGCACAGTACGACAGGGCGAAGTAAACCCTGCATTTCTGGGAGGGAAGGTGAAGTTGAAAGGCACGGGTAGCTCAGGTCTTCCATGGAAATGAATTTGTTGCTCAGCATCGCTTACATCTGACACTGGATTTAAGAGTCTATGTGCAGTTTCATTCTAGACTTAGGAATTTTCTAGATTTTTTCCCACTAATGAAGGTCATCACTACACTGGCCACTGTTTCTAGGAGATTCAGCAAACATGGCATCTACGTGGAACCCCAACTCTGGAGGAAGCTAAGCCCTCCGTTTGACACGTCTTAAGAGAAACCCTAGGAAGAAACTGTAGACACCTCCTTGCAGCAAAATGAAAATGAAAGCAGATGCACATGGGAACGACAGGAGCAGCAGAAGAATTTATTGTTAATGTTTAATTATTTGACAGCTAAGCAAGCTGGGAAAACTGCACAGACATAACAGGTCTTCACCTAAATGTCTGAGAAAAGAAACACTTGTCTTTCAGCAGCCCCACATTTTATTCTCACTCTTTTGGCAAAGTGCTTATAATGTTTAGGGATCATATATTGTCTGAAGGCCTCAGAGCATACAAGCCAGGCAGGTCATTCAAGAAAACTGTGAACTCACAATTTGCTCTAATTAATTCATTTCTTTGTAAATCACTCTGAGGAGCCTTGATTACTTCAACACCTTCCTAATCCTGCTCTCAGGCAGCTTTCGCAAACTCACACCTACATTTTGTAGTCTTAACAATGATCCATTCTGCAGCGAGCTGGTTAGTTTCTAACACATTCTCCCACTCAAATTGGGCTCTTTTAAGGATAAGAAATCAAATCAAAGGGCTGTGCTGTAACTAATCCTTCTACCCTTCAAAAAATAAAAATCAACTCAGCAAGCTCAGTAAAACTAATGGTAAAAAAACATAAGCCTGGAACAACTGAGTTAAACAGAAGATTTTATAACAAACCCTCAGCCCTCCAGTGTTGAAATTCAACTACACAGCGGGCTCCTTTTTTCTCCTTGCTTTTCTGAAGGCTTTCTTGATAAAGTTCTGTGACAGGACTAATTCTGTGTAACCAAAGTGCGCTAATTGAAATGCAACCCATCATTTCCTTCTAGGTGATTTGTTCTTAATATCTGTTCTGCATCAGGGTTTTGATACTTAGATGCACCCACTGTGCCATTGGGAGGGAGGAAAAAACCCTATTAGCTGTAGCAGAGATGATGAAAAGCAGAGAAATCAAAGGGGAAAGGAGACAGAAGGCTTTCTCCCTTTAGTCAAGGCCGTTCCATGTTCCCCATGACTTTCCAAAGCTGGGCCAGCACAGACAAGTTGGCACGTGGTGCCCTGAAGGAACAGGCTGGCAGTTTGGCATGAGGCTTTGAAAGACAGCCTGGGTTTGGATCCCATCCTCGCTCTCCAGCTGACACCTGACTTTGGACAGAGCTCAACAGGAAGCAAGGCATCTGGAAAAAAGCCTGCGATTCCTTATCTAGGGAACAATGCGAAGCTAATACAGCAGCCTAAATGAGACATGACTCAATTAATGAGAGCTGATGGGGCTAATGACTAAACAGATGGTATTCCTAAAAAAAGACAAGGGAGGGGAAATATAGCTGTGATAATCGACCTGCTGCAGCGTACATGGCAACTCTAACGCTGTCTCTTGCAGAGCATCGAAACCACTGAGAAAAAAAGAGCGTTGTTTGCCTCGAATGCAATACAGAGCAAATTGCGAAAGGAAGCTACTCTGCATACCTGGACTAAGGCATCGCATCCCTCCTCCTGGCCGGCAGATGATTTTATTAAAAAAGCCTCCTACTGCAGTCACCAATAGACTGGTAGAAATTTTGTTACAACCACGATTTCCGTCTCTACATGCACCCAACTCTTTATTTTTGACGGACCACAGCAGAAACACTTTTCCCAAGTCTTTCGTAAACAGAAGTGCTTAGAGCTGAGACATGGCTCGAACTGAAGGAGCTTCCAGTTGCAGAGCACATTCAGTGCTGTTGTCAGCATCATTGTGCAACGGTAACTCAAGGACAGACAGACTGTCCCCTCTTGAGACACTCGTACATTCCTGGAGCAGCCTTGTGAGGGTTTGACTGGACTTGATCCCACACTTACTGTTGTAACTGTTGAGATTACAGGTCAAACGTTACGGGCCACTGGATTGTCAAGGCGAGTCAACATTAGGGTGAAGAGTGGCCTCCCTCCTTTTTGATGATATGTCAACTACAATTATATTTGTGACATTTTATCGTTGGCCTGAGAAACTGTAATGAGCACAAACCTACAAATCTGATCAAAATAAAATGCTTTTGACTCCAACTAGCAGCCTTCTTTTAAGTGTTACCCATATGTTCATTCATCAGCTATTCTTCGATTAAGCTGCTGTGATCAATACATACAGTGTTGCTAAAGCTTCCTGTGGATTAAATATGCCACTGTAGCATGTCTGTTCTGATAACAGGTTTTGCAACAATGGGCCCCTCTATGGTGTTTGCCAGCAGGAGGGAGGAGGGAAGGTTCATCTTGCTCAGCGATGCGTTATGACTGACGGGAGTATCTGCTCTGGGGTGAACTTTTGATTTCCTCCCCTATATACTGAGACAGCACACAGCTGTCTCCCCCCACGACAATCAGCCTAATGCGGCAAGCATTAGAGGCACTCACATCTTTTCAGATTGCTGATGTTTAGAAACAGGCCAAAAGAAAAAAAAAAAGGAAAAATAAATTAAGAAAATTAATTTTTCTATTCCCGAATCTAGAAAAATACTTTCATAATAAGGCCAGTGCCCAAAGCATCCCTTTTCCTACTTACGGGCATCTCTGCATTTGACACTGTCATGCATCGTTTTTCTCACAGGTCTCAGTCCTGCCATCGGAGGGCACCTTGCTGTGACACCCAGCAACCCCAAAGAGCCCATTCATGGAAGAAACACCACCACCAGTAAACCTTCCCATTACATCAGGTATTTTTTCCAGAAGAGGAAAGTCAGCAAGAGTTAACCATGAAGTTGTAGCCCACAACTGCAGGATATTTCTGTCTCTGTAACAGGGGGACTAGGATGTGTGTGAGATTTATAGTTGAGCCGTATAATAACGTTTTTTTCAAGGAATATTTGAACAGCTGCCATCCATCCCAATTTCTAAATGCAATCACCTTGATATTCCTCGTGACTAACGACAGCCTGTGACAGGAAACTGTTTTGAACACAAATGGCCTCACCGATTGCCACTAACATATTGGACACAGTAATGAGTTAAGATAGGGAGGAGAGTTACTCCTCAGGGATGATTCTGAGATGACCTGCCAGGTGTACGACATGCCAAGGGGATAGGGGTGAGATTCTGCCCCCTTAGCTCTGACCTCTGGGATGAGGCTAACGGGGATGTTAGCATGCGGATTCTGCCCATCTTTGTAATGGCCAGTGTGGACTTTCAGCCGGACAAAAGAAAGAAACAGCAGCATGGGTATGTCTAGTCTTGAGTTCTTTCTGACAAAAGAACATTAAAATATGCTCATTAAATTCAGAAGGATTCAGGGACTGATGTAGATACAATTTAGGAAAGAACAAAACCAATAAAATAAAATTAAATCCTCCGCTTCTGTTTGATACCTGCTTTTGAAGGAGTGCCCAAAGCCAACCCAGGCTGACTTGGTTGAACTTTTCTGCTGACTCTGGCAGCAAGGAGCATGGCCTGCCCACCTCCCAGTGAAAGAACATGTCCATAGAAATTAAAAATCATTGTTTGAGGGGGAAGGAGGAGGAAAAGACAGCTCTCGCATGATAGGCTGAAATTACAGACAATCATGCAGGATTCATTATTGTTTCAGCCTTAGCTACACTGAGCAATTAGATCAAAAGTCTTTAAAAAAAAAAAAAAAAAGAAAAAAATAAATAGAATATTTTCTTTGTTTCTTTTTTCCCGTTCAGAAAAGGGTTCCTCGATCTCCAGTTCCGCAAAACACACGGTAGCACAGAGTATGCCAAGACTAGTTCAGATCAGCTTCAACAGTTCCAAGCAAGAAAACATCCCTGTAAGGTAGGTGAACCATTCTCCTAAATTAAACTGCAGAATCCTTCTCAAACAAACAGTGCTTTTCCTTGTACTGCAATGGGAAGAGCGATTTACAAATACAGAAAATCTTGGGCAAAAAGCATAGAGGGGGGATTCTTAGGCAGGAGCACAAGAGAATTAAACTGAACATACTGGCACAGCATCAACAAATCTTTCAGAGAAAGGCTGACAGTCCTGCACAATAAATCTGCTCCCTCTTTGTTACAAGCCTGTCTGTGAGAACACTCTCCACTAAAAGCATTGCTATAGCAAAGTTCTATTTATAACAATCCTCATGGCAATTCCCTACTTCTCCCCCCTTCCTACCCCTTTTCAACAATCACCATGATTATCTCTCTTGGATGGTATTAAAACAAGGGTGAAGCTTGTGTTCCTAATTTTAAGAAATGGTACATATTACACAGAAGGACCAAAGAAAAGGTACTAAAATAGTGACGTTCAGGTTTTAGTAGTGTGAAGTCAGTTCATATGCACATGAATTTTCTTGATTTTGCCTCCCTCTTCTCTTTTGATGATATCCTTCCTGGAGCAGAACCAGCCACAAGGCTGCTTATCACACTCTAGGGAGGATACGTGCAACTACACGTCATCCCGTGTGCATGCTTTCAAGTGAGTTTTAAAGCAGGGGTTTTTGAGGAACTGACTGACAGCTGCAAAACCTGTGCTCCTCTCTCCATGCAGGAACAGGTACAGCAAAGACAACGGCAGCACAGTATTGTGTCCCCAACTTTACTTGAGCTGATGAAAGCCTGGATATTTTTTCCAGCTATGTTGGTTAGTCCAGCAAAACACATCAACTACCCCTACAACCCTTTTTTCCTCTTAAATCTTTTGATCATTATGGCCATAACATTACCGCTGTTACGACTGATGCTGCAACATTAGAGATCGCATCTCATCAAGGGAAGGTGGTTTGTGTTCTTTATTTGTTCACTCCTTGATCTCTGAAAGAGAGCGGCAGTTGTGAGAGTGGCAGGTGGCAGGGGAGCTGCGTGCAATTCCCACATTTGTTACAAAATGGAGCACTTCTTGATCACTGTCTTTTTAATGAGCAACGAATCATCCAGCAGTGAGGCTGTACGTGTGCAGCGGGACTCTCCGGGTTTCCTCTCTTTATTCTTCTATTTTCAAATTCAAAGATTCTTCCTGGCAGTGATATTCTCTGTATGTGGTTTGAATTTCTGGGCCAGGCCTGCCTGCATTTGAGGACTGCAAGGAGAAAACCAGGGCAGGGACACCATTCTTGTGGTTCTGACCCTTAAGGCACGGGTTATTCAGTTGCTGGGAGAGAAAATAGTGGAAACAGAATACTCGTTATTTTTGTTCCCAGGAATTTACACTTCTGAACAAAGATTCCGCTGACACACACAGGTTGCTAAGCTTTCGGTTTGCTGGGTACAGCTCCAGTTTTAGTACTCCAACAAAAGCAGCCGCATCTAAATATCTTCTTTCAGACATTAGCTGTTTCCCCTAATCACTCTACCCCGGACGAGTGCTGTCCCCTTACCTCTGCTTCCAAGCACGTTCGGCGACCTCAAAAGCCATCACGAACCGCACCGCAAGCTCAGGACAACACAAAACCAACACACGCAGTGTAGCAGCAGTATCCTGAGTAGCACACGGGCAACCCAAGAACCAGAAGCCTCTGTGAGAAGAGTTAGTGAGGGATTTTGAAGGTACCTAAAGCATCGATACGTTGAGACAAACCAGGGAATAGCTGCACTATCTATATGTCCCTCCTGATTCAATTTTCACTATACTATTTCAATTCAATTAGGATTTTCATAATTTTCCCTATTAAGTTAAAATGCAAACAATATCCTTTAAAAAATATTTAAAACAAGGAACATTACACCTTTCGTTACTGTCTGATACAGGCAGGTGTCCGCTTTTATCTAATTTCCAGTCCGCTTTTATCTACATTTCCAGTCTGATACTTTCATTAAGTAACTTGAAACTGTGAACTATTTAAGTTTCACTGTAAACAGCAGAAATGAGGTGGTGACACCTCCCTCACTGACTCCAGCTGTAGCGTCAGTTTATTCTTAGATAGGGATCACAAAGACCTAACCAGGTGAGTGTATGTGTTATTAAAGAGAAACTGGCCAAACACCAAGTAGACCAGCTCTCAATGTCTTTTTCCATCCACCTTTAACGTCGCTTTACCTCGGATTTGTAAATTTTCCAAAAACTTTTGTGCTCTTAGGAGTTTTCAATTATTAAACCATAACTGAAGTCCACAGAAACAGACATGCGATATTCACAATAAAACTCCAGCACCTTCTGGAGTGTGAACAATTTGCCTTGGGGAGCACTGCTGTTACTATAATGTGGATTTATTCTCCATTTATAAATAAGAGTGAACAAATGCTAGTGCACAATTTCTTTGTGTCATCACAGCTAACGGAAAATAAACTATCATGAAGGCATGAGATGTCTCTGGATACTGATTATGCACAAAATGAGTTTTGTTTTGGAGTCTGAATGAGAAATTATTTAACAATACCCATGTTTTTCACTAACCCCCTGGGAAGCACTTTGGAATTTCTTATCTTTCTTACAGTAAATGAGACTATTCAAAAATACCTGCTTGGTTTTTGTTTTTTTTAACCAAATGACAGTATTTGGTACTACTGCTTACAGATGATAGAATCTGAAAAGTAATTTCTTCCACTTTCCCGACTCTTTATGGGAAAAGTGGTCTTTTGTGCTTGTACTCAGTAAAGCACGCAGCGTCGGTCCAACTGTAACTGACACTTGAGCCTCCAGCTGTGAATTCCTATATTACAAATTTTCACTTACAGCTTCAAATGCTGAGTTTAACAATCATAGATTTAAAACAGGATCTCAGAAAATGAAGAAACGTACCCAGAACGATGACATTTTGCAATCAGAAAGAAAGGTGCTATATGTGATGTTACACCTTCCTTTATGTATTATTTCTGTATCTTCTATATACATAAGAAAGCGTCATATTGATCTCCATTCTTTTATTTCCAATGCTATCCCTTCTGTTTAGGATCTTCTCAAAAGGTTTTTGTATTATTTTGGGACAGAGACCCCAAAGTCACATTTCTAGCGCCAGCAATCAGCGTACCAAGCTCTCTAGCCAAAGCTGGGAGGACACAAGTGTCAGAAGAGCTGCCAAACCTGGCAGCCCCAAGTACCTGGGGCAGCTTCCTCCCCCCAGCAGGTCCTGCTCCTCCGGCCGCAGCTCTGTCCGCTCGCAGGAAAGGTGAAATAAACTGATATAAACAGGACTTGGGCAGGTGTGAATGAAACCTTCTGAAACGTTAATTAAAAAAAAGGATGTATTTTAGTCTCTACAGCACTTCAAAGCCTGAAAAAAAAAATCAGAATCCTAGACAGTAAAACCTGTTAAGGTAATGAAGGATTAAGATCACTAATACAAGCAGGCTGCCCACAGCGCCTGGCACAGAACCCAATCTGCTGTGTTAAATGCCCCATCTCAATGGGGCAGCAGATGTGAAAACCAGCAGTGTTAAAGATAAGGCCAGCTAATGTTGCCTCCCTCACCAAAACCCGCAGTATTTTAACATGGAAGGTTGACTTCTTGTATTTAATCTCTAACCAATTTTACTTCCTGAAGAGCTTCTTTGAGAGAGGTGGTTAATAAGAAAGGCGCTATAGAAATAAAGAATACAGTTGATTGCATATGCAAATCTGTGTGAATTTTCTTTGGGGAGGGGGATTTGCAGCTGAATGGGTTAATGATAAAAGTGATTACTGGTTTTTCCCCTTTTTTTTTCTTCTTTTTTTTTCTTTCTCTCCCAAGTGC